AATGTGCCCTGCTAATCCATTATTGATCACCAAGGTAACTGCATATTCCATGTCCTAAACAGTACATTAGCAGGAAGCTTGGACCTGAGCTATATCCATCCTGCTGCTGAGATAAGTGCAGTCTTGAACAGAAAAAGAAAAGGAAAGTCAGCTAACATAAAAGCTCCTGAATTTTGAAATTTTAACTCAAAATCCTATTTGCAATTCACATACAGAGCAGTGTACTTTCATCTGTTGTCTGTAAAGGTCTATGGACCCAGCAGTCTCCCTAAGTAAAAACTGCAGTAAGTAAATAGCCACTAGGGAAGAAGCTGTCAACAAAGAAAGGTCTGTGTGTCACAGAGCAGTCCTATGAGAGGTGACTTGGAGAAACAAAGTTCAGGACGGCCATTCAAAAAGAGAAGCTTGAGCAGCCTGATATTAGGTTACACCCTACAACTACATTTCTTTGCAAGTCTGAGTTCAGGCATGGATCTAGCCCTTATAGATAGTAGTTAGTTAGTTGTAGTTAAGGAGAAAAGTTTGTTATAGTGAAGAATTAATTGTAATTAAAGAGATGCCAAGGGAATCACTAATCATTAAGGAGTGAAAACAAGTTTAGCACCAGGCCATCAATTTTTCTTCATTATACTCCGAAAATTATTCTCTTACTTTAAAGAGTCTTGGGAAGACATCTGTTGGCTGCCCTCGCACAACAAACAAGCGAGAGTTCAGTTTCCTTAAACTGTTGTCCAGATCTTCCAGGGACTGGAGAAGAAATCTGCAGAGAAGAAACAACAGCAGTTAGTGTCAGTCAGATGGGTTACAGCTAAAAGGCAAATGAGAATTTGCATGGACCTCCAGCAAACCTGCATCACCAAATCAAACTAGAGGTTTGGACAAGAACCAGAAAATAGGAATTCATATTTATCTCTGATCTGTCTAACAACCTTTATGAGATTGCAGCACTAGCCAGCTCCCATTCACTCATATGGAATTTGGGCTTGTCCAGATCCAAGAAGTTTCCAGGATTTTCTTCTTACTGCAACCCACTTCCCACATTCTCCCTCAGAGGTGGGAGAACATCCTTGTCAAGTCTTCTCTCCACATTACATCGAGAAAAGCATAAAACATGTAATTCCCTACTGTACATTTTTTCACAGTCTTTGGGGCAAAACCGGATTTTGCATATGAAGTAGAAAAATTTTGATGCATTACTCCAAGGAAAGTAATGAAATACTGCAAAAACTGTGCATGTTTTACAGTTCTAGCTGCAAATACACCATGTCACAGCAGAGAAATGTACTCTCCTAGCTCATTAGTAGCACAAGACTGAGCACCAAGATCTCCCAAGGCAAGAATCATCTGAACTTTGAATAATTGCAAAGAGAACTGCAATTCACCTTGCACCATGAAGACACAGAGATGAGAGCATACCAAGACATTCATATATTCCCTCTCATCCCAAAACTCTTAAAAAGCCATGTAAGTGCTTTCTGCATTTAATGGTATGTCTTAGTGATCCCCCACTAAGCTATAAACCATCAAATGTCTATTTGCAGTCACACATCATCCCATCTACAGAGTAACTTCACTCTGTTTCGTTTAACTCTGCAAAAGACACTAGCTTTAAAACTTTAGTGTCTTCTCAGCACTTGGCACTGCTGGCAAACACACAGCCCTCTGTGAGCGAGCCTGCCAACCCTTACCTTTCCCTCAGCCTTCCATTCCCACTCTGCAGTGTGACCTCCCAGAAGCCAGTACTCGCCTCAGCTCCCTAAACACCGCCCACAGCTAATGAAAGCCAAGCTACAACTGCACTGCAAAGTGGCAACTTTTCTCCCCTCGGCTGCACCGCCCATAATGTGAACTGTGAGCTTCCAGATAGAACAAGGTCACTCCGCACTTCTGGAGAGAGAAAAGGGTGCAGGGTTCACAGAAGGAAGGGCACTCTATCACAAAGGAGAACACCCAGAACCAGGTCCAGGTAACCTAAACAAACAACTCCCAGAGCCCCAGCCCACTTTCCATTTATTAAGTATGCATCAACTGTCCCAGGTGTTCTAAAAATTTTAACAAGCATTAGTCCCATATGGCTCAGACAAGCTGCGCAGCTAAATAACAAGGGATTTTCAACTCGATAAATTTGTGAGAACTAGGTAAAACATAAACAGTTGCCTTTGCAGAACAGAACTCTGAATACGGATATTTGGATTTAAAAATTAGCAAAACAAAGCCAAGGCTCACAATGGGAATGAATGGAACTTTGTTCAACATAAGTAACTCGCTAATATCTTTTCTGCCTAACAGCCAGTGGTGCTCGTTTCTGACATCTGCAGCAGTTCCACACCCCCAAGAAAACGTTATTTTTAATGACTTTGCTTGCTCATATATTCCAAATTACAACATAAAGAAGATTCCTAACTGTTTCCCTCCCTTCACAATGTTGGTGGAAGCAAACAAGGATTGAAAAGGTGGGGAATTTATCTGTTGTGGCACCACTTTGGTTCTTCCAAATGAGGACAGTCAGCAACAACAGCAGCACATGAAAGGCACGTCTGTCTGCTGTTGCCCGTAGAAAGTCTGGTCTATGGAAAGATCAATTCACTCCTAATAACAGAATTCATAATCTTCTGTACTTTGAATGATTACACGGAGGTAACTTCTCCACATTCACAATTTTTAAGCCTTCCTCTGCTGTAGGATTCTAGAAACACGTAGATATGACCCATACAATCCCATTCCTGGAGATGAAGCTAAGATGCACAGCAGAGTCAATCAATTACAACTACAGTTTCCCTAGTGCACAGCCACGTGACATTTCCAAGAGCTCTCAAAGCATCTTTAGCCAGGGGTTGTCTGTCGACTTCCTCTGAGGGGGTAGTGGGAGATCTGCTTCCCTTGTATGCAGGGCCCTTGCCTAGGAGAATCCCAATCTGGACTGAGATTCCAAATGTTTAGACTGTTGAGACTTGACACAACAACATTATGTAATGTTACCGTCTACAGGTACATGAGATCTTGATATTTGCACAGACATGACTCACGCTACACATTTTTCCATTTGCAGAGACGAGGAAAAGCCCATAGAGCTTAATCTCTAGTTTCTTAGCAGCAGCCGATGTGTATTTTCCTACAAAACCTGGGTGATGGGAGGAAGGGAGCTGCGTGCGCACATGCCTACGCGCCCCCGGCAGCCCAAGGGCAGAGGGGAGGCGTGGTGCAGCCACGGAGCTGAGGATTCTTTGCACCCGTCTCTAAATTGAGGGAAAAGGGTTTCCCAAAGCTAAACGCCCATCGGTTGCTGCTCTCATACACTCGCCCCACAGATAAAGTCTAATGACATTACATAAAGCTGAAGGCATCCTCCCACACAGCCGGGCAGCACCGCTGAGAAAACCGCGGCGAGGCCAAGCGGAAAAGGCACAGCCGCTCTCCTTGCGGGAGGGCCGAGGGGAGCACCAAGCGGACCCAATATGGAAGCGTGTGCTGCTACGGCCTGACCGACACGGCCCACGCCGCGCCCAGAGCGCCCCGGTGCCGCGGGAGCCTCCTCGTCCCGCACGCTCCCACCCGCGGCCCGCAGGCCCGGCGCCACTCACCGCCAGCGGTTGATGCCCACGGCGGAAGAGGCGGCGAACCAGGGGTCTAGGATATAGATGCAGCGGAGGGACGTGGCGTCCCGCAGCGCTTCCTGCAGCGCCGGGTTGTCGTGGAGCCGCAGCCCGCGGCGGAACCAATGCACGGAGCGGCACAGGGCCGGAGCCGGGCCCAGCGCGGCCGCCGCCGCCATCGCCGCCGCCCGAGCCGCGGCCCCGCCCCGCCCCTCCGCGTGACTGGCGCGCGCGGCGACAGCCAATCAGGGCCGCGGGGCGGGGCGAGCGGCGCGGCGGGGGCGCTGTGCTGCCCCCCAGCGGCGCAGGCCGCAGCTGTCGCCGGCGGGGTGGCACCGTCTGAAACCGCCCCGGAAATGTCGCTGTCACCCCCAAGAGAGCGATCCCCGAATTTAGTCGGCAGGGTTGGCCGTTACAGGTCAACCTTAAAAACCTTCCTTTCCATTAAAAAAAAGAAAAAAAAAAAAAAAAAAAAGAAAAGCAACAAAACAATGTTTAAGGACCCCATATGGCTGCCTGCATCGAAAAGGTACCTGTGGCCATGAAACCCGGAACAGGAGCCCCTTCCACACCCCCAAATTCAATAGGAACATATTCCGGGCAGAAATGGAGTGTTCTTCGGTAGGTGGGACCAGACATCACTCGCGGGGCATGGTACATCATGTAGGATCGACGCAGCAGGGTATGAAGCAATGGCATGGACTGCCCAGGATAGCTATTGGAGTAAATTTATGTTTAAAAGGGCCAGGGATTTAGAAAGCTGGTGCAACATCACAGCTTGCCACAGGATGTTGCTGCTAACCCCAGGAATCAGAAATCGCAGCACAGACATACTCTATTGCATAGAACCAGATGGTAGGGTGGGGTGGGTTGGGCAGAGATTTCTGCAGATTGCAGATCTGTTCAGCAGCAAGTTCCAAGCAAAGGGATTGATGCAGTTGAGCAAAACTCACTGCATTGAAGGATTCACTGAGCTGGCCATGGGGATGTTTAACAGGAATAAATCAAAAGGCACAAACACTGGAAGAGCTACAAAGTAAACACGAAACAAGTCCCCTGAAACAAGGGAAGGGGTAACAACCCCATTTTCAATACAAATCAACCCCCTACAAAGAAGGTAAATAGAAGTGTTCAGAACCCCCCAGTGAACTGGGATCCCCAGCCTAGAGCAACAAAGTGTTTCAGAATAACTTTTTTGCTCCTGCCTGTCACCCAGCGACACAGAGGCCAAGCTCACTCCTCTACGAGAAAGGCCACTGGAGCGAGCATGCTCTTCCTCACTGGACACAGTGCCAAGCGAATGAGAAGTTTAATTCCTGAGTCTTAGCATGCTTCCTCAAACTGAGAAACCAGGTGTAAAGCAACACAGGATAAAACTTCAGAAGGATGTGACTCTTTGGAAAGGCATTTTGGAGGCACTGCTGTTACTTAGACTTGTACATAGCCAGATGGGAGACAATTTCCATCCTCTGCACTGAATAGGGCAACAGGAAAAACAACTGTTGCAAAAGCCTTATACAGCAGAACAGTTTACTAAAGCCTAGCCCAAACAGTCTGGCTACTTGCCTCTTCCTTACCTGCAGGTTGAGGATTTTATAACTTCAGATTGCATTCATTCAGTTAATTCTAGATCCCTAGCTACACAAACCTCCCATTCCAGTCTTTGACCGACATGAGCCCATCCCTCCTCCCCCCCCCACCGAGATGTGAATTTTCCAGATTAGGTTAATAACAACATCCATTTTAAAAAACAATCACAAAAAAAATCCCCAGTTGATCTCTACAACACATGCTCTCCCCAACTCTGACACAGGGTGAGACAAAACGTGATCCAGTCAGGTCTTTGGCTCTGGTTCCTGACACAGTTCCCCATACACTTTGCAGGTGCATTTTTTCCTGCTTCTTGCTCTTCTTCTCCCCAGGAGGAAAGGAGCACCAAAGGTTATCCCTCCCAGGCCCAAAAATAGAGGTGCAGGAGCCACCTACACACCAGTCTCATTTCTTTCACTGCTTTTGACATTAGGATCCTCTTGCACCTTTCTCATCTCCAGTCCTTTCACCCATGTGTAGGCAAAGGAGCCCCCCAGAACCATCAGGTTACTCGTCCACCACAAGAAGCTCTTTGTCTCCTCAAAGTAGATGACAGCCAGCACTGTTTGTGCACAGGCCTTGGCTGTCCCAGACACGTTGTGGGTGAGTGGGCTAGTGAACTTAATTTGAAGTCCAGTCACGTACCCAATGGCAAAGCCAAACACTCCCCCCAGGGTCATCATGCCCCAAAAACTGGGGCTCCCCAGCTTGTCAAAGTGGTAGAGGGTGCGGAACTCGCCCAGCAGCACCATGAGGGGGAAGAAGAGGACACAAGCGTTGATGTTGTTGTAGAAGGTGAGGCGCCAGATGCTACCATCCACCACAGGCAGCACCTTCTTGGTGTAGATGGCATTGAGAGAGACACAAAGGCTTGCTAAGATCCCAAAGAATATACCTGTCCAGGACAGAGTGCCCTCTGCTCCTTCCTGGTCAACACCCAGCCAGAAGCCACCTGCAACCAAACAAATCAGGCATCATCTGAACAACTGCTGAAAGGCTCAAAATATACAGTAAAAAATTCATAATTTGCTTTATAGTGAACAACGACAAAAAGAGACAGGCTTAAGGGCTTCCCCCTTCTATTACGTGAACCCACAAAATGTCATAGCTAGTGTCCCGGGAAGACTTATTTTGGGAGTCCAGGAAATTTACTGTGCAGGTAATGCGACCTCAGAGGACTAATTCCCACAATGAGCAGGCAGCACTAGCTCAGAAACTACTATTCCAGCTAATCTTTGCACATAGATAGTTTTCAGATGACCTTATTTTTAATTGAAAAGGCTGAAAACTGACACACAGGTAGAAAATATATTCCTCAAAGTTTGAAAAAAAACCCCATCTTTATATACTTTTCTCTGCTGTTAACAGGAAGGGAAAGATAGGTCAGAGAAGAAGATGGAAAGATAGAAAAAAACATGAATGTAATATTAAGCATGATCAAAAAAAGGGAAGAAACTGTGTGCAGTATCTTCATGCTAAACTTTGATGGGGAAAGCACTGTCTAACCACCTCCAAAACAGGAGCTACAGGCTTTGCATCTGCAGGGCAGAGAGGGAGACCTCTCCCCAGGCAGCTCATAAGCAAAACATAAAAGGGAGATGAGCTACTGAAGGAGCATTGCATCACATTACCATTAGCTGCTTCTTGTTGGAGGTTGTCTGGGAAGTTGCCTGCAAAGCACCTAACGCACTTGAAACTAAGCCCAGATACAAATGGGTTCGGTGCACAGACAGGAGGGGTTTTGTGTCAGGCCACAGAGAACGCTCAGCTCTCACGGCAAAAGGAGATGGAGCCAGGAGGACAGAGTCTTCATCTTAGAGAAACCCTGCCAGGCTGTCAGGCACCACGCTCCTGGACAATGCCTGAACAAAAGATTAGCTGAAGGCAATTGCTTGCATCACTTGTAGGAAATACAGAAGCTCTGTTCCGGCTCACCTCCTCCACGGAGATGAGAGTCTCTTATTTTCATCTGATTCCACCCAGTTGTCTAACACTGAGTAAACGCATGCACACCGGGAACCAGACTGAAATCAACAGTTCACCACTCTTGGCATCCAAATGGCTCTTCAGTCGAAGGTGCTTTTTGGGATTAATTTGCCTTTGGGATGGACGACTTACAAGCATTCCTATTAAGCCACTCAATGCCTTGCCCTACATCCTAACCACACAACCAGATCTTCTGGTAGTGTTTTACACTTGGCTTGATCAGCTAACCCTTTATCATATGCGTTCAGCCTATTGTAAAAACCAATTGGCTGCCTCTATTATATGGTCCCAGCGGTGCTGACATAAATGTTATTGTTACCAAAGTTAATAATCAACAAGGACTTGGGAACAGGGAGAAAGCCACCTGCTATTTTATGGCCTGTACAGGGGGAAGAAACAAAAAGGTAAGGCAAATTAAACTTCATTAGAGGGTAGATACGCTTTAGTGCTCAAAGGAAAAAGGGAACTATGTCAAATGAGAGTAATTTTGTCTCTTAATGAGTCACCTACATCCTCCAGATATAAAAATTTCGTTGCCGTAGACAGAGCAAGGCATGAGCCCTGAGCTACCCCACCTCACCAGGGAGCTGCCATGCAGGTGGGGATGACTTCCCAAGGGAATGACACCTCATCACCGTCCCTCCGGGGGCGGCTGTCAGATGGGTGCAGCCCTTCCTGCTCCCCCTCACCTATGATGACTCCGCAGGCCAGAAGGGCATAGAGGGAGGTGGTCTGCTTGAGGAGCAGGTAGGACAGCAGCACGTTGAACACGGTGGTGAGGGAGCGCCCCACGTTGTAGAAGGCCACGCCGACATGCTTGAGGCAGAGGTTGTTGGAGGTGACCATGCCGATGAAGACGGCGGAGAGGGGCAGGACGCTGCGGGACACCTTGGGGTCGAGGCGGAGGGCGGGCAGGCCGGCGCAGGGGGGCCCGCAGGCCGCCCCCAGGCTGAGGCCCAGGCAGAGGGCGGCGGTCAGGGCGCACTGGAAGAAGGTGACGAAGAGAGGGGCGTCGAGGCGCAGCGAGGGGCTGTCCAGCAGGTACTTGTTGAGGAAGACCATGGCGATGGAGGTGAACCAGTAGAGGCAGACCACCACGGCGATGCGCAGCGCCCGCAGCAGGAAGGGCGCCCGCCGGCCCCCGCCGCCCTCCGCCGGCAGCAGCGGGTCGGCGCCGCCGCCGCCCAGCGCCATCCGCAGGATCCCCGTCCGCGTCAGCTGCGCTCTGCTCATGGCGGGCCAGCGACGGCCGCCGGCCCCCGCCGCCTCCTCCTCCCGCCGCCGGCCCCGCTCACCCGCCCGCACCACCGGCCCCGCGCGTCCCGGAGCACCTCGGCCCCGCCCGCCGTCCTTTATTCAGGGCCCGCGGGCGCCGCTCGGCACCGCCCCGGCCGCGCCGCCATGTCTGGGGAAGGCCCGGCCCGGCCCCCGCCGCCCGCTCCGCCCCGGGGCAGCGCCAGCGCGGCTACTGCGAAATACGACATTTATAGAGACGTTATTGAGAAAGGATGCTCTCTGATGTTTGAACTTTATGTGCTTCCAGGCCGAATCAACAAGGAAGGAGATTTAATCCATGGAAAAGAGAGCAGCGAACAAGCAAGCTCTAAGTGATTCCCGGGTGTCTAAAAGAAATTACTTGTCGGCAGAATAGCCTCGTTAAGGTTTAGCTCTGGACCCAGGTAGAGGCTAGTAAAGCATGGGGGGCAAGCTAACAGGACACACAAAGAATATAGAATTTACAGGCCCTAAGGACATTTGTCAGGATCCCTAACATAAGGGAAAGACTAATAAAGACAACTCAGCAACTGTACTGAGATCAGCTCCAAGTGGGTAAAATGTAATTCCAACAGGGGGAGATAATAACCACCAACTCACTGACCACCAGCTCAGGAAACCCATTGACCCAAAAGAAGACAAAGACTGAGCATGCAGACTAATAGCCACGAGAAGCAAGAAAATCATCAGTCGATAGAATATTAATCAATAAAATTTAGGTAACTTGTAGCCAATGGATTAGCTTTGTTCTATAGCAAACAATGCCTTTGTTTGCGAAAATGTGTGAATAGTGAAAAGTTCTGGTTGCTGTCACACTGGCCTTGTGGATTTGCCACCCAGCACCCCTTTCCCTGCAGAACTGTAAATAAATAAAAACCTCAGGTTTGTGTGTGGATTGCACACTGGGTGAAAGGTATTTTGGGACAGCAGGGACAGGTAGCAACTGGGGCAGTTTAACGAGGAGCAGTCACCCGAGGACAGTCCTGGGGCACCCACCACAGCCAGGAGGGAGGTGGCCCTGCTGGGAAGGGGCTGCCATGCTCATGGATATTAATGGTGACCAGCACTGTATCCACCTGGCATGGCTGGGCAATGGGGGGCAGGAGGGGACTGATGGCAGTCCTTGTGTCAGGAACAACACTGCTCTGCTGGCTTGTGTCAGCATCCTTCATGAGCTGGTTGGAACAAGTGGGATCTGGGTATTGGATATGCAGTGGTTTGCTAGCACGGATTTTGCCCACATCCCATCAAAGGCACAGTGTGCTTGTTCTGCTGCCAAAGCCTTCAGTACAGAAAACAGGTTTGCATTTTTGTGAAGGTAAATAAAGCTTTCCCAGTACGACTAAATGAAGTAGGCATGGTGACATGTGCGAGCAAGGACAGCACAGGCAAGAGTCAGCTGCCTAATTCCCATTCCTGCATCAATAATTTTGATATCTAACCAGGAGAATGTCTCTGCCAATGCCATTTACCTCTCCAATACTGAGGTACAGTAGCCTGTACTGACTTGTGCTTTACCCTGCTACACTGCAAGCAATACAGGGGCTAACTGCTTTCAATGTAGCCCGGGTGTTAGGATAGGCTGCACACATTCTCATGCTAATGCAGTTATCCCACAGTCCCATATCATCATTCCAGGTACAAAACACCCATCTGCCCATAATCACATGCCAAAACATCCCATGTTCTCTTAATGGTGCTTTATAACAAAGAAGCCTTTCAATAACAAACTCTAGCATATTGTGAATTCAAACTGCTGGACAGGATGAAATAAATTAAAATTAATTCCAGATTCCATGTAGTGAGGGAGGCAGCAGTGAGCTCTGTCAAACACTGGTCAGTATGACCCTCACTTATTTCAGCTGAGGCTGCTGCAAAGTGTCTGGTTTGCAATGTCCTGGGGCCCAGTAATTTCCACAGGGCATAATTAAGAGGATTTTGAAAGCAAAGCCAGCAGCATTAATTGGTCCCTATAGCAATCTGCTGCTCTTATAGTTGGGAAGGACAGAAGCATAGTAGGGGTTGTGGGGAGAAAAGTGATGTTCTTAATTGGGCCAGTTGGTGCAGCTGGAAAATGTTTCAGGCATAATGTGCTTTTCTCAAATCTCTGAAGTCACACTTGATTTTTTTTTTCTTTCCAGGTGCATCAGTTGGTTTAGTAAATGATGCTGCCCTTCCTCACAGTCCTTGCCTTCTAAGCAGCATCTGGGCTCTGATGGGAATCACGTTCCCTCTGGACAAAGAAAGCTGGTGCTGGTGCACTTGCTTTGGAGTACCTAAGTGCCCTGCAGGGTGAGGGAGTGTTCAGGGTTGTATTCTGAGCAACATCTCTCAACCCTGCACCTTGTGATAGGTGCCTGGGTGAGCCCTTGCAACCCCCAAGCAAGTTTTGCCTGCTCACGTCTCCCTGCTCTATGTGCACAGCCAGGAGAGCCACTCCATGCATGGTGCTTGCCCGAGCTCACATGGGGTGTGACATCCTGTGGATGCAGCTCCTGCCATGGAAACAGCAGATTGTGACTCTGCAGAGGGGCTGGCAGTAAGGCAGGAAAGAAAGCTGTTATTGAAATGACCAGCGGGTGTTCTCTGTAACTCAGCCATGCTTTGATGCTGCTGCTGGAAGACAGCTAGCACTTGCTCATTACTTCATATCCTGTGTTCCTTCCTATCCACCTTCTTCCAGTGCCTGGTCCAGCACTCCTCTCATAAGTGGTGTCAGTCAGGAAAAAAAAGAAAGCAAACAGTCTGTGTGTGGGGCATTCAGTTGGTTCCATAGGTCCCTGTGGCCTGCTGTACATACCTGTGGCTTCAGCATCACATAATTTGGTTTGAACTTCAAGGAATTTGACCTCGCCTACCACTAATGTTACAAGAATGACAGTACCTCTGGCAGAATCAGAGTCAAATATAAATATCTTTCTTTTCTCTGTCACTTTCTAGTGTTGTTCAAAGTGCATTCTCTAAACTAAACACAGGAGTTGGAGAAGGCAAAAAACCCCTCTGATTGCGTCTTGTCGACTCATTCAGTGCACAGAAGATTGCTTTAGCCTGAAGAAGTTTGAAATATCCCAATCAATAAAATCCTCATTGCTTATCCTGGGGGATTATCCTACAGCCCTATCACACATGTATGGCACGTCTGCATGGGAAAATCAACCAGAATAACTCTCTCACATCTGCCAATATAACTCCCTGACGGTGACAGTGTATTCCAAAATAAAAGTGATTTGTTTTCAAATAATGAGGTAGTTCTGTGATAGTTGTGCTGGTTAGTCTCCCTAGGCAGAGCTTGTCTACAGCATAGCAATGGTTTTGTCAAGTGCTTTGAGTAAAGGCTTTCCTAGGTGCAAAAACTGACCAGCAGAATTACTCTGCCATAGCCCTGCCTGTCTACCTGCCTCACAAGGGTGCTTTGCTTTGGGGGAAAGGTGGTTTAAAGTTGTAAGTTTAGATATTTCAGATTAAAGGTTAGAATAAGTAGGTTATAATGCTGATATAAGCTGTTTAGACAATGTAGCCTGGCCTCCTGCACAACATTAGTCTTAGGCTTCCCTGAATTAAATCTTACTTGAATTAAACCTGATCTTCTATGAGAAAAAAAAAATCAATTTTGATTAAAAATACTTCCAGAGACTGAATTCAATATGGCACTAGCAATGTTATTCTGATGGCTGGTTCTTTCCCACTAAATAATGCACACTCCTTTTCATGCTTGACATTTCCTGGTTCAAGTTTCCAGGCCTCTGGATCTTGTTACAGCTTTGCTGATTCTTTTACAAGCAAGCAGATGAAGTTACCTTTTAGCTTTGTTTTTTGAGAAGATAAATAATTTTAACTTCATTACAGAACATGTTTACTGTGCTACAACAGCAAAGATTCACCTCTTTATGCAGATGAGACCTCAGTATTTTCCTGCCTTACTGCCTGGTTGTGTATTAGCATGGTAGCACATATTGTGAGGAGCCAGCATAGGGTTATTCCTGGCTTGGGAGTGTGCTGCTTCATGTTGCCTGAGTGCTTACAAAATAAACAATTATCACCAGTGGAGGTCTGAGGCTGGAAAATAAGCAGCTTTGACAGGTCCTTTATGTAGGGAAATCTGGCTGGTAGTGTCCTTGCTCCCATGTCTTGTGAGGTGCCTGATGCCCTGCCTGCTACTGGTGTGCACACACACACACACACACACACTCCTGCATCTTGTTTACTTCTTTCCTATGTGATCAGAAAATCTTTTTAACTATGAGAGGTGCTGCTCCTCCAAGAGAAGAGCTCTCCCCTTCCCACTAAAATTAGGTGGCCTACCTGAAAGCATGCAAATAGGCTGATAGTCAGCAGCCTGGTTGATAAAACAGCAAAGGGCTTTGGGGTGTATATCAAACCTGGTGGTGAGACAGCATAGATTGCATTCCCTGGCCACACAAGGGACCTGGACCTTATCGACCGTGTTACTGTAGGAATAGACCCTCCATAAGTCATGTGGAAGAGCAAACAAAGCAGCAGAAAACATTGCCAGTTTTGTTTCTGGGTTTGGGGTTAGAAACAGGACTCATTCCACTTCCTAGAATGGGAGATGGGAAAATATCCACTCAGCAGTGAGGTCATTCCAGTGTATTTAAGAATTTTTTGTTTCTTACAAGCATAGGTATCTGATTTCCAGTTCCACAAACATCCTTGATGCTGACATTTGTAAAGTATGGAGCTTACAAGTTAAGATATAAATCTAGATTCATACATGTATCAACACACACATACATAAGCATATAAGCATATTTGTACCTGTACATATGCATAAGTATGTGAGTATGCTCAGACTATGTACAGGTGGTGTGGTGCCACAATGGTGTCCAAGCAGGGACCAACAACCAGGAGGGTTCATCTGTGACAGGAGCATTACTTTATTGTGACAGGGATATTGCTTTACTAGACTTACTGGTGATTCCTCTGGTTTGCTGTGTATC